CAAAATCAAAAGGGGCCAAATTCCAGCCTTATACGCCCCCGTCCTTTGTGGTTCAAACAGAAATCTTTATTTTTTTATAAAATATTGTACAAAATTTTTCATGACTAATGTCTTACAACCGAATCAGCTTGAATCCCGAATATAACTCCATACCTGAACTCAACCCAGCAATTAATGAGACCTCGACGTTTCAAAATATTTTTACTTTTTCAAACCGTAGCTTCCAAATTGCGAACAAAAATTAAGCCAATTAAGAAAAAAGTGTTCGCAATTTTGAACATAGAAAATAACGTTGATCTTATTTTTATTGCGTTTCCAAATTGCGAATACTTTTAATAATCAAGTAATACAGTTTTAATTAGAAAAAAATTTATTAACAATAGAAATGCATAACAAAAAAGCCTATTCCTCATCACTACTATCTTCGGCGTCTTGTATAAGATCTATATAACGATGAGAAATAGATCTTAGAGCTTTTTGATAAGCATGAAAATCATTATCTTGAATATATATTTGATTTGATAATTGTATTATCTTTTAAAGTTATAGTACGAGAACAAAATTTGAAAGTACATATATACACGAATGAACCATTCTTGTTTTCACGTCTCAGCCCATATAAATAATTATTATATAAGATAGCATTTCCAACTCTTACAGTTGTTGACCAAGTAAAATTTGTAACCATACTTTGAATTATGATACCATTCTTATTCTCAAACTTCTATATTTATATTATTAATAAAATTGAACTCATAGTCAGCTATTGCAATCACTAATTAATCAAAGTGTTCGCAATTTGGAAACGCAATAAAAATAAGATCAACGTTATTTTCTGTGTTCCAAATTGCGAACACTTTTTTCTTAATTGGCTTAATTTTTGTTCGCAATTTAGACGTAGCCTTTTCAAACTGTTATTTTGTATAAAAGCATAAGAGTGAATATCGTTCGATCATGATTAAGCCATTTATTGTACCTGGGAAGAGATCACAGAAGTGTAAAATAATATCGTTTTACTAAAATAATTCGTTTTTAATGAAAATTCATCTACATATGATGATGAATCATATGACGAAGTAACTGAATACATAGAGCAGAAAACGAATTATTGAAAAAGTGAACACGCATTATTGTGATGAAAAACAGCATTCATGTATGTATGCATAATTATGATGTATAGCACTAATATTGTGTTCCATTTCAACTTCGTTAGCAACAAGGAAATGCATACTTAGCGAAATTGATCTGATTTTAAGAGCATAAAAACACCAAGTGAATTTTGAATCACTTGATTTACTTGTATTTTTTATGAAATTTGAGAATGATCTCGTTTTTTTCATTGCTATTTATGGGAGAAACTAAATAGTATACTTTTTTATATAAAATAAAAGTTTCAAAACTATACTGTAACTGTGAAAGTACCTGTCGGATGTCAATTAACTCCAGTTCGAGTCTAGTTTCGAAAAGTCATACCCATGTAAAACACTATTCACGACATGAAGAGTTCAAAAAATTTAAGATATATTTCTTGCTGAGAATGGAAAACGTATCTTTAATATTAGAATAAATCTTTCTTAAAAATTCTAATTCAATACTTTCTTGACTACCTTCTTTGTTTTTTTTATATAAAATAGAAACAACAATCACAGACAAAAACAAAAAAAAATCAAACGTACATACTTTGGAAGTTTTTTTTTCTTTTTTATATATATAATATGAGAAATGAGTAAAAACATACAACACTTTTATCAGTAAACAAAAAAAACAAGAAAACAATAATGATCGAATTTTTTTCTTCAATGTGAATAAACTGCGTCGTTGTTTTATTCTTTAAAAGAAAACAAGAACATGTTCAATCTATTACATTCTTATATAATAAAATAAATATCTGAGAAATATGTTTCTTCCCTGTTTTTTCACGTTACAAAAATCTTTCATTTAATCAAGACGACGTAAATTTTTTAAAGCACATTTAGCTGCTGCATTTTTTGCTATTCGATAATTTCGACCAACACCTTTAAAACGTCCTTTACCAATTATTTCAACTGTAACACGTATTCGACCATCAAGTAAACGTTCTGGTTTTTCAAATTTTACTGTTTCAGGTTCAAGTTCAAGTAATTCACGTATTGGTGATTTCGGAACTTTAGTTGTAAATTTTTCAATAAATGGTTTTAACATACGATAATATATTTTCCATACTGTATTAAATGATTTATTTGAATCAAGAAATATTGCACCGGCAACAGATTCAAATATATCACCGAGACATTTTGGAACTTCTGTTTCTTCCCATTCATCTGATTCCTCAGTTGATTCATCATTTTGTTCATCATGTGAATTTGAAAGATGTTCATCATCAATTGTACATGATGTTATTGTATTACTATATGTATCTTTATTATTCGATGCTGATGATGTTAAAAAATCATAATAAAAAAATTCATCATTTTCATCATCATCATCACCTAAATTACATTCATCAAAACCGCACCATGTTGATTTATCTTTTTGTGTTTGAACAAATTTATCAATTAAAAGAAATAATTCATTTGAATGACAACGAAAATATTTATGATAATCATATTTAACAGCTATATATGCAAATATATTATTATTGACTAGAGCAGAACGAAGATCTGTTAATTCACCAGGTGAATGACGTTTGGGATGCTACAGGAAAAAAATAAAAATTTGTTTGTCTATAGAAAAATTTAAAAAAACAATCGATTGACAAACTAACTTCATATAAATAACGAGTTATAACATAATCAAGTACAGCATCACCAAGAAATTCTAAACGTTGATAACAATCTGTTATTGTATTATAAGAATAAGATGCATGAGTGAACGCTTGAATAAGATAAGCTCGTTGATGAAAACGATAACCAATTAATTGTTCAAATCGATTAAAATCATAAGATTGAATTGTTGATAGAATTGATGGATTTGAATAGTCAACCGGTGATGGTAATGGTGGAAGTTCACCAGTCATTTCTGTTCCATCCTCTAAAAAAATATTTAGAGATTCTAATCGTGTTTTTCTTGTTTTTTTTTTTTCAGACAGTATTTCGTAGAAGATAATATTTCCTATTCTATCGTGGTGAGCAAAAGAACAACGAGGATACATTTATTGATATGAAGTAACCACAACGGATTTACATAAATTCTAAAATTCATGACGCTAGGACATACAGAACAAGGACCTGCGTGAAATTTCTTGGACATATAGGCATAAGCGTATTCACTCTTACTCTATCTTTAGAGATTCAAGTATTAAGGATTTCAAATTGATTAAAACTCTTTGTGATATTTTTATATCAATGATATTTTTAAATTATTGAAATTCTAAAACACGCATTAAATTATCATTGATCTTCTAATCGAATTGTTTTATTTTGTTTAAAAATAAAAAGATTATTTAGCTACTCTAGATTATAATTCAGTTTTTGTTTTTGGTACCATTAAATTCACTAAAGAGAAATATCTTTCGATACTCATAGAAGTGGTTGATATCCAATAAATTGATCAAAAGTCGTTTGAATAGTGCTTTTTTTTTTAAATTAAATTTAACTATAAATAACAAAAGATATCTCATGTTTATCTTTTTAATATTTAAAATGGAAGTGTAGACGATATTACTAAGATTCGTACGTTCATTATTTCAGTCTATTAAACTATTTCATTAGCTTTTCAAAAAGGAGAAAAAAAGAAGAATTTTGTTACAAGATGAAATGTATGAATTAATATTAGTTCTATCTTTTATATATCTGTAGATTATTGATTGTACAAGAATAGTTTAATAATAGATTACAAACCGAGTCGAATTTTAGGAAATATTCGTATTCCAAGCCAAGCCATAAATCGAAGAGCAGCTTTTGGTCCACTTGCAATCAAATAAGCTCCAATTAAAGCTTCAACTGCATCTGCAATACTTTTATCTGATATTAAATGTTGTGTACGACGATCATATGATGGAGTCCATTGTTGTTCATTGATTGATGTTTTTGTTGACAAATTAGGTATTATTTGATTATTTATCATTGTAATTGATGATATTGGTATTGATGGTGATGATTGTAGATTATTTTTTGCTAATCTTCGTTGTTCACGACGTTCTTGTAATTCAATCCAATCGACATTTGTTGTCGATTCAGATTTTGTCCATAATTCTACACCTGAACTTGATAATAAACCATATTCATTTGGTGATCCCGATGTAAATAAAGGTCTAATTTAAAAAGTAAATAATATTTAAAAGAAAAAAAGAAATTCTTTTCCATTTCAAAAACTTACGGAATCCAATTTTCAAATGGTTCAAATTTAGTACTAATTAAATATTCTCCTAAGGATTTTCGTTTACCAAGTTTATATAAATTATAATTTGAAACAATTTTTGAACGAAAAAAACTTAATTTTCCTTCATGTACTTGTGTATACGTACAATAAATATAAACTGTAACAGCTTGTTTAAGAAATGAATCACCAACTGTTTCAAGACGTTCAAGATCAAAACCATCACCAGCATTTG